TTTTATGGATGGGCAGCAGAGGCTCAGAGAACGTAGGCCTTTTGCCCAGTCAAGGTCATAACAGCCTAAGGGAGAGAGCCCATGCATTTCTCACTGTGTTATGCTGCTTTAGATTCATAGCATGTTACATGTTTATTTCTATTCCTGTGTTAAATGACCATTCATGAGCTTAAGGAGTAGCAGCCTTAGAAAATGTATATATATGTATATGCTTAAGCCCTCGAACTGATACATCCAGGGGGAAATAAACTCTTAAACACCATATTTCAGATGCTTGCGAACCACCACCTCTCTGACTTTTCTTTCAGATACCAATAACTTAAAATTGACTCCCAGTATACCTATAATCCTAGGACTTTGGGAGGCCCAAGGCGGGAGGATTGCTTGAGGTCAGGAGTTGGAGACCAGCCTGAGCAAGAGCGAGACCCTGTCTACACACACACACACACACACACACACACACACACACACACACACACACACACACAAAATAAATCAGCCTGGCATTGTGGCATGTGCATATAGTCCCAGCTACTTGGGAGGCTGTGGCAGGAGGATCTCTTGAGCATAGGAGTTGAGGTTGCAGTGAGCTATAATTGGGCCACTACACTCTAGCCTGGACAACAGAGTGAGACCCTATCTCAAAAACAGAACAAAACAGACTCCCTGAGCTGCATTTTTTATGAATACAAGCAATTGCTGCAAGGAATATCTAACTTCCAATTAACTTGGCTTCTGACCATTGTGAACTCTGGTTTACACTGTTATTGGCTGGTTCTCTCTTAGCCACCAAATATATTATAATTGGTTTTTGACATAATGACTAAGAGGGATGATTGCTAGGTGTCTCAGGCCTATAAATTCTTCTTCAGCAGTTAATATCTGACCCTGCTCCTGGGTTGTGAGAATAATTGAAAAAAAAAAAAACAGATGAGCATCACAGTGATTACTGAAGTTGCTAGTGATGGCTGTGGACTGGGACCTGAATGGCTAATTTGTGCTCCATTTCTCATTGTAGAAGGAAATGTCATGGGAAGAGAAGGGGGGTGGGAATGTGAAAGAATTATGTAAGAACATATGAGAGGTGCTAATTTAATAGAAGGAACAGATGCAAAAGGGTTTTTTTTGCTAATAGCAAATTATTATGCTTCAGTTGGTATTATACCTACTTTGTATGGATTTTAGAACTTAAATTATGTCTGCCATCCTTATTGAGGTCCCTTTGAGGCAAAAAGCATAGGTAGAATTTAACAGGGTCAGTAAGAATTACTCTAAGGAGAAATTAGTTTCGTCTTTTGGATCCCTTAATTTTTGTTCTATTGACTCCAACAGATTAAATAGATGAATATTTAGGAAGTTGCTATATGAAATGAAGGATTAAGAACTTTATAAATGTTTTTAAAATCTCTGGTACACTCATAAAACCATGTGCAGAGAGTGGCAGTGTATAGTAAAGGTGAATTAGATGAGGGAAATTTGTCTTTCTAGAAATTTTTATTACACTCTGATTGGGCAGGAAAAAGGTTAAGATGTATGGTAAAAACACTGTGTGCTTTGATTTGAGCTCATAATAGCCATGCAATACATACTTGTCAAATTGCACAGCCATTTGGAGAAATTAAATTGTGAGGTTTTAACTTGTTATATCAGTTTTATAGAATTTCTCAAGCGTTTATTAACCACATGCCCACTCAAATGATCTTCATATTTGCAACTTATATGGTCACATTAAAGAGTCTTTTAAAATGTGAAGGAAAGAAAAATAGATTTTCTGAATGATTAAACGAATTAGGATTTAGTATCTATATAGCACCATGCTAAGCTCTTAAAACACAAATTAACACATATGCACACCCACACTTTCCTAGGCAGGATTTGAGTCCTGGGAACCAAAGTAAGGTCCATGATGGTGTTGGACAGGGGACATGTAAGCTTCAAATCAGTCTTCTCTCCATTATATCATTTCTCTTGTACTCCAAAGGAGCTATGTTATTAACATATATAGCTATATCAACCCATAAGCTCTTAACCTGGATGAGGAACTCTAAGAGAATTTACTTTTTCCACAAAATGTTCAGCGTCTTAGCATTTGTTTGACCTGCAGTACTTTGAGGCTTAAAGGATGAACCTTGACATTTTTAGAAGTTTTAAATTAAAACTAAACTTGACATGCCATTCAACCCACCCTCCCAAAACCTACATGACTGTAGGTGACATTCATTAAAAATGTAAGTAAGTGAGGAATGAGGATTACTTACTAAAAATGAGTACTAAAGTACAAGTCAAATAATTCTCAACATCCAGTTTCTTCTGCTGTGTGCCAATTTTATGAGCAATATGATAAAAATCCAATATAGGGAAGGACCTGTGGTTGCTGTTAGAATCTTCTCTTTTAGGTCATGAAATATTAATAGCACTGGATTGGCACAAGGCTTTCCTGTTGCTCTCATGATGACCAGGCTTTATTTTTTAGTATATGATAGTTAATGTGTGCCACACACTAGTCATGTAATACCACATCCCACGTGTGCTTCTTTTATGCCTTCAACCAGCAAGCACAGCTTAGCAAGGATGCTAGTGATTCAAGCATGATACAGGATGTGGACCAGATGACATTTAAGGTCCCTTTTCAACTTTAAATTCTAGAAGAGTGCTGCATGCACTTAATTATCTATGTTAACACTTACTTGAGAGGGTTCCACACAAGAAAATTTGTCCCTAAGACATAGTAAAAAAATCACTTCTAGGAACACAGCAGATTTTTTCAGAAATGCAATTCAGTGGAAAGACATTTTTCCTTAATTAAAAAAACATTAATGCGTACCCTGACTGCTTCCCACTGAACACAGCCCCTGACCTGTTGGTGATTGCTACTGACAGGTGAAATGGGAGAAGTTTCAGCAGCTATAGAACAGTTGCTGTCAAACTTTAGGGTACAGCAGAATCACAGATGGCTGGGCCTGGCCCCAGGGTTTTTGATTCTGTAAGTCTGGGGTGGGACTGAGAATTTGCATGTCTAACAAGTACCCAGGTGATGCTAATGCATGCTGGTCCCAGGCCCGCACTTGGAGGACCACTCAGAGGATTTGGGGGAGAATAAAAGGCCTTCCCAGGTAGCAGATTTGAGTGCTTCTCATGCTGATCCCCTAGCTCTTTGTGCACTTTTTGACCTCTCTCTTTCAGGGAGAGAACTTAGGTAAAAATGCCAGACCATGCACTTGTAATGGGGATGAGTTGACCTGCCTGTTTATTTACTCTGCAGAGGGAATCCATTTCCCTTTCTTTCTCTGAAGAAAGCCCAGTAAATAAAAGGCAAGCAGTAGCAGGAAGAACACCTAGATAAAAGGAGAAGAGAAACACACACACACACACACACACACACACACACACACACACACACACACAGTGCTTGAAAAGCTGGAACCAAGGAGGACTATGGATTTTAGCCCTAAGCCTCAAGGAACCACATAATGATGAGTTAGGGGCCGAGAGGCATAGGTATAGATAGATATAGAAACTCTTGGCATGTAAAGAAAGCCACACACAGCCATCTCCCTCCAAAAAAAGGCTTCAGTGTATTCAGTGTAGGTTTTGAAAAACTATTTGGAATTAATTGTCAGCCTCTGATTTGCCCACCCAACACGAGAAGAGAATGGTTTTGCAGCACTATTGTGTTTTGATAAGCTTGCCAACGTTCTGGCTTTGAAGCAGGCATCATATTTTCTTTTCTGCTCCATATTTACATAGAGGCAGTTTCTTATTTGATGTGGTCCTTATATTTTGCTTTGGTATTTATTGTATTTCCTGCTTATAAACGTGATATCATGAGGTGTTTATTTTTATACTAGGCAAGAGATTGTTTAAGAATGATTAATGTTACAGATACACTGTTAACTCCTCTTTTCATTGAGGTTCCTGAGAAAAGCTTCAGGAGAAAACTAATTTGTCATTTGTACTTAAGAGATTAAAATCTTTCACACTTCGGCTGTGGCTGTGTGGTAGGCAAAAACTAAATCTGAAATGACAAAGGTATTCTGATTTGTATTTCTCAGTTATTTTTCCATGTTGTCTTACAAATACGCCACATTTATGGTTGAGTCAGTTATGCATGTATTCTCTCTCTCTCTCTCTCTCTCTCTCTCTCTCTCTCTCTCTCTCTCTCTCTCACACACACAAAAGGGACACTAAAAAAAGTCTTAATAATGTTACTGTATGAATCCTTTATGAACTTAAGGTTAACTTGGATACCCTCAATTATTATCACATTCCCCTGTGATAATGTCACAGGGAAAAGCCCAGGAATGTATTTTCAAAAAACTTATGTGCTTGCTTCTAGGGGTGTTTCATTATGTTTCTTGGCTTCAATAATTTTCCAGGCAGTTATCATGCATGTCGTGTAGATACATAAAAAGGAGAAAAGAAATATGCTGAAATTAAATAAATAAATAAATGCAAAACAAAAAAGAGAAGATGTTTAATTAAATTAACAACAACAGCAACTAAAGAAAAAAATCATGCCCAAGTAAAATAGCAACTTTTGAAAATACCTGTCCTTGTCTTAGGTTATAATTAAGGGGCATGAATAACTTGGACTTACATTCTTGCAATAAAAAGTTCTAAGAAACCTCATGTTTTAGACTTTATGTGCCCATTTTTGTCTAGTTCTTCTTTATTCACCTAATGATACAGTGAGAGAGAGAGAGAGGGAGGGAGGGAGAATATGTATGTGTTATACTGATTCCTGGGAAGTTGTTGGTTTAAAATTTCATTGCCCCCCTTTCTCAGACTTAGTTACCTATATAAGTGACTTTGGGAGATAGATTTCCTTTCATTGACACATTATCTGAGATGCCAAATTCCCCAAGTGAAATTCATCCTATATACAGGCATGTGTTCCAATTTAGTTGTCATTTTCTTTAGTTTTTGGATTTACCCAAAAAGCAGTACATTATTTAATTACTAAAAACCCTTTCTTTCATTATTCTTTCTTTCTATTTTAGAATTCTTCAAAGAACTACTTGAAAATGCAGAGAAATCCCTGAATGATATGTTTGTGAAGACATATGGCCATTTATACATGCAAAATTCTGAGCTATTTAAAGATCTCTTCGTAGAGTTGAAGCGCTACTACGTGGCGGGAAACGTGAACCTGGAAGAAATGCTAAATGACTTCTGGGCTCGTCTTCTGGAGCGGATGTTCCGCTTGGTGAACCCCCAGTACCACTTTACAGATGAGTATCTGGAATGTGTGAGCAAGTATACCGAGCAGCTGAAGCCCTTTGGAGACGTCCCTCGGAAATTGAAGCTGCAGGTTACTCGTGCATTTGTGGCAGCCCGTACTTTTGCTCAAGGCTTAGCAGTTGCAAGAGATGTAGTGAGCAAAGTCTCAGTGGTAAGCACTATTTGTATTTTGTGTTTTTGTTTTGTTCTGTTTCATTGTAAAAGAAAGTTTGAGAAAGGTAGAAAAATGAATCACCAGAATTCCATTGGCTCAATAAGTCTTTTTTTTTCTCTCTTGCCTCTTCTCTCCCATTCTTTGTCCTTAGACGTGTACATTTCAGAGTTACTAAACAATACTATGATGAACATCCTCATATATCATTATTATTCTTTTTACTGGTTTCTTTGGTAGCTATTCTTGGAAGTGGGATGTGTGTTTACTCTGTAATCTTAATTTGTTTTTAAAAGTGGGTATAATATAACCATACTCTTTTTTGTTCTCATTCTACTTCCCCTCTAGGGAAAGAAATATATATGCACAAGTTCCATCCACATTTGATTGTTTTGATTGACTATGTTTGAGCCTAGAAAAGCATTTTAATACCCATGAACAAATGTTTCCTTATTATAAGGAATACTCAGAGCTGTTTAGAAGACAGAGCTTTCTATGACAATTAATGTGGACCACACTGCTTTTGACTTACGACTGTGCTTATAGGATTACAAGTATAGAAAAAGAAATTGTAATATGTGACCAGGAGTGGAACAAACCTCAGTTTCCTCATTTGTAAATTAAGGGAGTTGGACTTGACCAGTATTTTTCAGTCTATGTTCCTTGGAGCCAGCTTAGGGGCTACTTGAGGGGCCTCCTTGAGAAGGGACAAGTGAAAAGGAAGTCTTCTAGTGGGTAAGACTGTGTATCTGGGTCTTTACCTCCTGTTCCACCAGAGAAGCTTTGCTTTCCTTGATTTTATACAGTATGGTCTTAAACAAGATTTCAAAGGGAAAAAAGTTCTACTGTTCCTACTCCACCCACTCCCATCCCCCAAATGAAAACTGAAAACTTCTTGAAGGGCCTTCTACCTCTACCCTTCCATGACTCGACACCAGGGAAGAAACAAAATATACTTGGGCAAAGTTATCTTTGCAAGACTGATCTTGGTGCTGTTACCTTTAGGCCCTCAAAGGAAAAGCCAGATTGTAGGCCATTGCTAAAAAGCCTGCATGCATGACAGCAGCTTCTGCTTAGACCATTTGGTTGTTTAGAGGACTGGGAATGGTCAACATAAAAATGGGATAGCACTGCAAACACTAAAATGGCCAGCTGATTGCCTATCAGAGAGTTAGTTCATTTATAGTTAGGGTGACCATGTAATTTATTGTCCAAACTGGGACATTTATTGTCTAAACTAGGACTTAGTTATTAATGATTATACACAGATAACAGTTGTCACTAACCATTAATAAACAACCCTAACTGTCCTGGGCCAACCAGGGTACACAGTTACACTAGTTAGAGAGGAAACTTACATTCACGAGAGTAAAGATAAAGATTGTAAACAAAGGTGTGTTATGAAAAATAGGTGTGCATAGGATTTTTCCTATTAGAATTGGGTGATAATAAGCATTAGTTGATTGTTTGAATTCATCATTATAATGTTTGTTCTCTCGCTCATGACCAGGCCACAAACTCTCAGGAAACAATTCTTTCTATTATGTTTTTGTTCACTCCTTCTCCTCCTGATGTTTTCATTATAAATTGCAGATATTTGTTGGGGTACATGAAGGTAGAGTTGAGGGTAAGTAGGAAGATGATTATTATAATTAAAGGAATAATCTGATACCTGAACTTCTGCCAATCCCAGCAACCGTTATTAATCTTGGAGATATGTTTGTCAGAGTCCCTAAAACAGTACACAGCTAATCCAGATCAAAGTTATTTACAGTGTAGTTCACCTGACACACTTGCCCTCCTTGGGCAATTCCTTGGGTTCATCCTCAGCTCAAAAGGCAGAAAGGCGCTAACTGTGGGGTTTGAATGTCTGTGTGTACCTGTGCACCTGCGGGTGCACTCTTGCCCAATAGATAGGCAAAGAGTCAAGGATCCTCTGCCTAGTGTTTGAAAAGTGCTTTCTTTACATTAATCCTTCCCCCTTTCCTTTGAGTTCCAGTGTTAATTCTTAGAGAAGGAGGACAGTCAGCTGATGCAAGCCTGTCTTGGTGTTAGCCTCAGCCTCACTTCGCAAGATTGGAGCCACCATAGGGAGTGGAGATTCCAAAACCCACCCAACCTGGGGTGGGGGAAGGTGGCCAAAACGAGAAAGAGGTTCAGAAATGGTTCATTGCAGGCTAAAAGACTGAGAGCTAGAAAAGTCATTCCTTTGTTCATATCACTCCATTTCCCAGGATAGGGAGAAATAAGAAGTTGTAACTTTCCTGTGGTGCATTCTTCTGGATATGGTTGCCAGAATTAACTGTGGGGAATCAATAAACTTGGATTTGATATTTAAGATTCAGACACCCTTACATATGCAGTAAAGAGTATGCGACCTAACGTGAAGTAGTCAGAAAGTGGTTGTGATTATTTGACATTAGGTCACATACTCTGTTGCATCACTTTCTGATGTTTCAAAAGTATGAATTTTGCTTAAGCAAGAAAGAGATTTTCTGTCTACCTTAGTATTGTTAAGTTCTTTGAGAAAGTTACTTTCTAAAAAGAACCTTAAAGATTTTTTTTTAGAATTGATCTCTGTTTATTCATTGTATTCTCATGTCTGCCGAAGAGATATTTGCATAGTTTCGTGAGAATATAATCACTACAAGCTATGAGGCTTAATATGCATAGAGTAAACATTACTTGCCAGTTGTTAAGTTAAAAATAAAGTGTTATGGAGACTTTGTTATGTTTGTAATTGGAAATTTTTAAAAATTACGGTTTTGCTTCACTACTGGTTAAGGACTGACTTGAAATCAAACCCTTCAACTAAGTTCAACTAAATTGAGTTATATTTTCTAAATTACATAATAGCGACACATAGTCATCAAATTAGTTTTTAAATGTGCTGAAACAATTATGTAAAAAATCTATCATCTATGGAATGTTTCTGTATAGAAGCATGCAAGGTATACTTGCATATTTGAGAAAATATTTATTACATTAAGTTTTAGAGAATGACTACCAGTTAAACAGAATTTAAGATATAGTAGTTTGGGGAAGACAAAAAAAAATGATATGGCTACCAAAAACATTTCAAATTGAATATGTTGAAAAATTCATTTCATTAGGATTCTCTTCCAGTTTGGGTATCCAGGTAATGTTTTCATATATATACATATACATACATATATACATACATACATACATATATATATATATGAGTTCCCACCCCTGCTAACTCCTGCCCAAGCATCATTTGCAGGTGGAACTGGAACAACCCAAGAAATGAACATTACTTCTTTAGGTGCCCAACAAAATTAATCGCCTTGGGCCTACAAAAAACCTTTCAAAGTAGGGCATGTATTTCCTAACTCAATAGTGCTACCTCACCCACTTCCTCTACAAAGAGGTCTTTAAAGTCAAATATGAAAAGCATCCTGGTCTTGGGGCTATTGATTGCATGCTTAACTTAGAGACATCCCCACTTTCTCTTTATGAGTGGATGTCGTGTTGTTTTAGTTTACTTTTGCAACAAAAGGGTTGCAGTTATAAGTTGAGCAATCATTTGATTATCACTAAGCCTTTGAAAGGCCATTAGCACCAGCAAGCTTGACTGCCTTCAAGAGAAAGGCACTTCCTGGTTGAAGTATACTTGCCTTACTTTCAGTTTTGCTGGGACGAAACATCCAGTGATTTCGGCTCACTCTGTTGAGATTTACTATTCAAACTTCACAAAAGCCCCCTTAATTACTAACAGATGGTTCAAGAATACCCTCGTGCTACACATCTTTGTATTACTTATTCCATCTTTACTTGTCATGGTTTGTGATACATTTCTTATTTACCTGCTTATAGCTGCAGTTTTGCCTGGAAGGGTGATGTCTGTTGTGGTCTTTCAGAAATGCACAAGTGGTTACATGCACCATGAAAATTAATAGCTCCTATGCCAAAGAGAGTTGCATTTTCATGGTTTCAATTAACACTGACATAATGGGACTATGTCTACACCCCACCCCAAACTACAGGGGCTGTAATTAGAAATCAGTGCTTCACCGTTGCAATGTCTAAATGACTGTCCTGCCTTGAAAACAATATCCATTGCTCCCTGTTCATTTCCGTCTATTCGCAATACTCTCACACCTACAAGAGTGCTAAACAAGTTATTTTGCTTTTCCCCAAATCATTATACACATATATTTAAAAATAGTCAATACTCAAAGCTTTTAAGCAAAGTGTAGACATTTATTCAACCCATAATATTCTTTTTCACTTACATCCTTAAAGACTAGAATTATAAAGAGGAAGAAAGTGGGACTGACCCAAGCCACGATGAGGAGTGGTGGGGATGGAGATGGTAGGAGTGTAGCAGGTGTCAGTGGCTGAATAAATTGAAAACTACATACTCTCAAAACAAAAATAGCGCCCTTTTCAGGGTGTTTAATAGAATGATGCTTTGACTTATAGTATATAACTGAATCTAATCATTAAAACAAAGACAAGACCTACTTTCAAGTATTTATGCAGCTTCTATTTTATCTGCAACATGTCCATAAATATTCTCCAATGAATCCTAGTTTATTCTATATATTTTGTTAGGCTTTTTAAATTATCAGAGAAATGGGAACTTCTCAACCTCCTTTCTTTGTGTGCATGCATTGAAGTCAAAACTAGTTAGGAAATTGTTGAATAAACTCATCACGTTCCATGGCAAATGTGGGTTCACTATCTCTCTTACCACAATTTTGGGAAATAGTTCTGTTATTTTTATTGGGTACTTATGTGACCAAGAAACAGATAAAATCTAGACCTTTCCTGTTTGTTTGGTACTGTTGGCTATATAAAAGCTATATTAAAAAATGCTATAACGAATGTATGTTAGGAGCTGGAATAAACTAAAAGAAAATGTGTTTCTAACTTCAGTGCAGCATGTTGACTCCCATCACTGTGTAATGTGGCTTAAGGCTCGTTCTGAATTACTGAAATGAAATCCAGGCTGTGTGAAGAGTTCTGCTCCA